TACACACGCACTGGAGGTGAAACCTACGCGGTGTAATGGGTCCAACAACCTCTTACCTTTTTTATTTTCTTTAGTATCATTTAATTGCAGAAAGCAATCTACAAATAAATAACTATATAACAACTACCTTTAACATATGCTTATATTGTTTATTGAATACAATAACTGCTTAGAAAGCGAAATGATGCTGAGCGAAGCCGGTTTTATGCTGACCTTAAATTCTATGGACCAAATGCAATAACATCGCTAACGGCAGCACCTTTCTCCTCTCTCTTTCATTATGGTCTTGGTCGCGGGACGCAGTCGAAACGTTATTAATTTTTACATATTATGATTCAAACATGACATTGAGAATACAAACTATATACATAGAAAAAATTAGTTTATTCTAAAATAATACTGAAATACAAAAGGACCAGATTGTCTTTTAAAACGGTAGTATTATCATATTGTCTTGTCCTATTATCTATTCTGTGATATTGTGTTGATGTATTTTCTATATCATTTTTATAATTCCTTCATGGGGCAATGTATACGCTTTTATAACAAAGTCCCAGAAAATCTGCAGGCCTTATCTATCAATAAGTTTGAAATTTTTATCAAGCAAATATTTTTAAGTAATTTTTTTTGGAGTTTATGGCCTGGCATCTAGACCTTTAGGCCAATATTTTTAAGTAAGGGTTATTATTAGTGTTGCCAGGTCCAGTGGGCCAAATTCCGGGACGGAAGGTGAAGATAATCGGGGAATTTGGTTCTCAAATTGGTACAGCTACATCGGCTACAAAAAACAGCTTTTTGTAGCCATTTTGGCCATCATGAGTTATACAACTAAAGAGAACACGATTGATAATAACCCCTGAGAATGAGGTGATCGCTACTATGCTGTTTCTAAAGTCTTCATACCAATTGTATAAAATAATGTATTGGAAATTAATTTTATTTAAAATAAGTTCCACTGGATATCTTGCTTGTTCTTCACAGGACAGGGTTTTTTTCCGAACCAGCGGTAAAAGTAAAAAATGACTTTCAATAAGTATTCTTCTAATCCATTAATCACGCCGGGCACTAGATATCACCTCGTGGCCGTTAATTAAGTGATTGCGCGGGAGAATATATTATGTATCTTAAATTAGAGGAATTAAATTTACTTACCGAGAAGCTCGTACTCACAATCACTAATCGGCGTTCGTTCTAAATATTGTGATGTGTTACTGTATGTATGATAGTGTATAGCCGAAAAACACTAGCGATTATAAAATTTAAAACTAATTAAATTGATAATGCGGTAGGAGCACAACAAGGTGCAACAGCGGGCGCGGATTAGCGAAGACTATATTGAACTAATGACCCTTTTCCTTTTGAAGGTTGTTGAGTGACAATTTTTACTCACACCACCGCCATCTATGATAAATACGAATAGATTAATTCGAGCGCATGTTCGGCGCGACTATCCATATTGATTATAAATGATTGTATTCTATTCTTTCAAAAATATATTTTTACCTTTTAAATTTTTAACAGATTTTGCAAATTTAACTTTTAAATGTTGTTAAATAAAATGAGTTCAAGAATCGAGAAGGATGTACATACAACATGCAGGTTTTTATGTATGTGTAAGGCGGTTGTGATTTATTATTATTAAATACGTACTTCAGAGGTGGCATCATATAATAATTATTATAATTTTACACCCTTAGAGATTCAATTAGGTACTAAGTGTAGAAAAATACAAGATGAATATTTTCTGCCGACTTCAAAACGGAGACGGTACTCAATTCGACTGTATGTTTTTATGTATGTTACCTCATAACTTTTTACTGGATGAACCGATTTCGATGATTCTTTTTTATTTGAAAGCTGGTACTTCTCGTGTGGTCCCATATGAATTGATCAAGGTGAGACCAATAGTTTTTTTTGGTCTCACCTTGATTATTACCTTTAATTATTAATAATTTATATTGATATCGGCTGTACAAAATTTTTAATTTTAAATCATTAATATAACATTTTAAACGACAGTCTAGTTGTTACCTTGAACTTGTGATATTCCTTACACCACTAAAAAGGCACCGAATTCAAATATAAAAAACAATATATAATTCCACATAATTACTTTTGAATTCAGAGCTTTACTCGTAATTCTTTGATACACTGTCTTAACACCGACTTGAGAAGCTATTATGTGGAAAATATTTTTTTTTTGTTTTTGAAGTCGGTTTTACACTTTATTAAAAGTTTAATTACCTAGTATAGGTAATAATTATATAAAATATATATAATATATTTATGCGAATACGACATATTGAATTAAAAAATATCACGATTTATTTTACTTATTTCAATTCCCGACGTTTCGGATGCTTGGCAGCATCAATGGTGATGAGGGGACAGAGTTGTTTGACGTCTAGATATCATAGTTAGCACGGCTACCTTCAGGTTTTGAATATTAAATTTTGGTCCGATCTACGCAGAACAGTATCTTAAGGGCTTATAGTGATATGCTTGGTAAGAATCGATGTTCTTTTGCGAGGATTTGTGGTCTATCGAATTCGATGTAATGGCAGGGACGGTCTTGAACATGTTCATACCTAGTATAGTATAATTTCCTTTTCATATTACCCAACAATATCACTTTGCAGTCTTTGTTTTGTTTATTTGTTGTATAACTGTACAGTGATCATCACTGACACAAATATCAGATTTACTTGCGCCATTACTATTAGCGTGTGCAAAAGTGTCGCAAATGCAATCTGCCGTATATTCTGTGTTAGCAACTTCCTCATTTCAACATCCAAATTACTTTAAGACTTTGGAAAAAACATCTTATAAGTAACATTAGTTTCTTGGGATATTACTACAATAATGTCTTAAATGCTACTACTCTAGATCAATAACATAGGAAAGCAATGTAAACCTTATTATTATTACTGTAACGCACAGTTACGCTAGAAGTCTGATACACTTTCATATTTCAACTTTACGTGTGACTATTTTCAACTGTGTACAACATTAGTTATTATGTCCAATTTCAAATAAAGTTGAGTGCACAAAATGTATACTTGAACCATTATTTAGTTCATATATATTATTCATATTATTAATTATTCATTTTTGGCACGATACCACGGGTAGTAGAACTGTATGATAATTTAGGTTTTTAATTTTACGTTTTTATTTATTTATTTATTTATTCTTCACTGCACCAAATATTTGTACAAAAGGCGAGCTTAACGTTACGTTTTCTTTATTATGTTTTTTTTTAATATTGCGTATATCACAGTTATGTTAATAAAAATTTATTTGTTCACATACCTATCTGTCTAACTATTATATTTACAAATACTATATCATGATAACAAATATAGACTAAAATGGAAAAAAAGAAGTTTTTTATTAATAATTATTTTTAAAGCCCTCTATTTCCGGACGCAAGCGCTAGTCCAATTAAAGAAAGTGGGTTAACCGAACTCAATCCCCATAGCACAGTTACTATTGTAATAATTTAAGGTGCTGAAATACAATGTGCTTAAATAAAACTTCGTGAGGAAAACTGCATGTTATAAAATGTAATAAAATATTTCGATAATGATTGAGATCATCGGTTCAACGCATCAAATTCTTCCCTTATCTAAACCCTCAGAAATTACAGATATGTGTGACGCGTGCGATATACGTGCGTTATTACACTGCACTTCAACATATTAATTATTGACAAGTAAATAATTTAATTTAAATATACCGTGTAGTGGCGGTGTAAGGATATCCACTACCCCATTATGATCCCGCGGGTGTCGTAAGAAGCGACAGAGGGAAACAAAATAATAAACATGCGTGAGTGTCGTAGAACACTCGGTTGGAAAGAAGTTCCTTTCGTAGTATATTATTATTGATAAACGTATTATATTTTTTTTTATAGGATAAGGGTGACAAACGAGCACACAGTCCACCTGATGGTAAGTGGTTGCTGCGGCCCATAGACATCTACATCTATCCTCGTTTGCGAATCAAAATGCAGATACGTTGTCACCCGCGAGGACTAAGATGGAATACCTCATTTCCATTATAAAGGGCCTCCGGCCACCTGCACTCACCAAGCGAAACGCAGAGGTAAACCTCTACTTCACGCTGGTATTCTGTGAGGTGAGCCGGCCCATCCGTGCGACAGCAAAAGCTGCCGCGTGGCTCTACCACTGTTTAAAATATGATTCGCGGCCGTAACGAGTATATATTTACAGAATTATTATCATTAAAATCACCAATACAACCTTTTTAATTTCATATAATCCCTTTGAATGAGTTTTTCTGTAAATAGCCATACAATGGGATTATAGGAACGTAGACGGTTGTATTGATGATTATAATGATAATAATTCTGTAAATACATACTCGTTACGGTCGCGAATCATATTTTGTTAAACACAACCTGACACTGACCTACAAATTGCAAAAAACATAAGAAAATTTGAATTTCGTGGGTTACCCTTGCGTTTTCACCTTAACAACTACAAATAAATTAATTACTAGCGTCAGTAAAATTTTGATGACTGACGCTTCATTTTAATAGTAAAATGAAGCGTCATTTAAAAGAAAATAATAATTCTTTCATGGCAAGATATTATTGATTAACCACTACAAATAAATGAATTACTAGCGTCTATTAAAATTAAGGGTCATTTAAAAGAAAACAATATTTCTTTCGTGGCAAGATAAGAAAAAGTGCGAGGGAAATGAATATAATTCCATCTCGCTCGCACTATAGAAAGGGGGTCGTGACGGAAAAATCTCACAATTTTACTCGCCTAGCCCCCATCCGCGAAACTCGTACCGTGCGGTAAGGAACTTCGTTCCAAAACCTGCGGTTGCCAACCTGCTTGCCAAGCGTGGCAACTATGACAAATCTAAGGGAGAGGAATATGATCAGCAATGAACTTTAATAGGCTGTAACTATAACGGTAATAGTAAATAATTTAATTATTAACTATTGGTAAAATATTACGTACCTGGATATAATAGCACCTTATTAGTTGATACCGGTCTTACAGGTTTACTGTCACTTGCAATCACGACCATATCGTGCTGTTCTATGTCAACGACTAAGGGGCATTCAACTGCTACGGCGTTCACAAATCTCAGCCTGTATGCATATCCCGGAATAACAAATATCCTGAAAAAATATCAGATTGACATAGACACTGTTATGTTATGATCCCAATAATATAAATACAATACAATAACTTTATTTCAAGCATCAAAGACATAAAAATTAAGAACATTGTCCCATAGAAATATATAGCTTAACCTAAAAATATATGTAAAATATAAACATTACACTATTTAGGGAACTTTCTAATTTGACGCGTCCCTGTATTGGCGAAACACTACCCCAGAAGGCCGTTGTTTTTTGTATTTTGTATTTTTTTGTATTTTGCAGGAGCCTGGAGTACGTAGGATTTGAAGTTCGTTGACCTATTAGACTCCAGACGCTGCAAATGTAAAGAGATCGGATCATCTATCGACTTCGTTTTTCCACGAAACGCAGGACGGCTTCCCCCGACGTACTTTTAAAAAGCATAAGTACATTTTTGTACAATTATGTGATAAACGAGAAGAAAGTTCACCTGATCGTAAATAGATAATGTGACCCACATCCTTACACAATTATGCTTAATATTTTTAACAAACAAAATATAGATGTGTTGTCACCATTAATGTGAATGTCACCGTGTAGTAGTGACGTAACAAAATCCACTACCTACGACTACTTTACAACTTTGGTCCCCTGGGAGAGGGTTAAAGCTTTTAATATAGGATACATGGGATACATGGGATACATTTTAATATGGGATACATGGTAGACACTTTGGTAAACCTCTTATCTCGGAGGTAACTCGTTTAGAGAGAGCGGCGTCGGAGACCGATGAACTAGCTAAATGGTGTAAGTATGAGTCTCTAAGAGGTGACTACATATTTTTTTACTTTTTATTTAAAAAACGTTACTTCTTTTTCTTATCACATAAAATACAACGTCTATTGAAGATGATAAACCACCGACCAAATATCACATGAAAATTATTTCCGTTAGAGTTCTGCTATCTAGGAATAGATGGAATATATGATATTATTATTTTTAATACATTAATATTTTTCACTTATTATAAGCTAGTGCTTGTGAATCCCACCTGATGGTAAGTGGTGATGTAGTTCTCGGTATTTAATCGCACTTTCTTAGCGTAAAAGTTTATTCACTTTTGTGTTATAATCGGAAGAAAAACAGACGCTGGCAAACTATTATATTACAGGAACTAAAATACTAACATTAAAAACTTATATTATCACACAGTCCTACTACTCGCAGTATAGTGACAAGAATGCTGACTGCATTTTTTTGCTGAATGGCTATACTTAGAAAAGAATCAGCCCTCTTATCAGCAGTGACGACGACTAGTCGTGAATACAGTTGCGCATGGACCCTAGGGGCCTATATATATAAAGGAGGCGAGTGTTGTGTCAGGATCGTGCGAAATGGAAGTCCGTAGTCTCTGCCTACCCCTGTGGGTGACAGGCGTGTGTTTATGTATGTATGTATGCATATATATTACGTATATTCAAGGCAAACGAGTTCATTGAGTAATTCACGAGAGAATGTGTATATAAAGAAACAGAAACCATGATATGGATTTTAACTCACTTCGAACTCTTTTTTTCGCCATTAACAACGATGGAATCCGGTCGTAGATGTTTTCCATTTAAATTTCCAGTCAATAGTTCCGAAAATCTTGCACCCAGTAATATTGTATGATCTTTGCTTTTATCAAAATCATACAGCGACGAATGTGGTTCCAACGGTTGGGGTTGATCCACAATTAAAGAACCATAAACACCGTCGCTTTGATGAGAAACTGAAACATAATTTACGGTTATGGAACATCGATCACTAATAAAAAAAAAACTATAAATTTGTAAATGAGTTCTATGTTGAGTAAAGCCGTAAACACACATTTTAAATGGTAATATTAAGATTCATCATAAAGAACCAAACCTATGAAATATTTCTAGTTGACTTTGACCACGGCGTCTGTTTCCTACTGACCACAGACTTGCGCAGAAACTATGTATATAGCAACTTTATATACATACGTCTGTCCTCAATGTAATGCTTTTGGGACTAAATCGAAGTTTGGCTAGAATCCAGTGACAGAGTTTTGTGCGGATGTTTTACGCATGGAATTTCGAACCTAAGATCTACATATAATAGTCATGTGCCGCGACTAAGATTTTCATGGTTTATAAAAAATACAAATTAAAAAGTACCTGAATTGGCATGATAGAAGAATGTTCCCGGAGACGATGCGATGAAAGCATATTCGTAAGTTGAACCAAACGCTATGGGACACTGCGTCACCATTGGCACACCATCCATGTACGGAGTTCCCTTTTGCTCTACACCGTGCCAATGTAAAGTTATATCTTGACCTGGAACTTTGTTCTGTACCTTTACAATAACTATATCGTTCACGCAAACGTGAATTGGTGGTCCAGGAGTAATAGCGTTAATAACCAAGGCCGCCTTCCCGTCAGCTTCCAATGTTGGCTCTATTTTGAAATTATATTGACATCGTCTCGGTTTCACGTTGAACTTGCAAGGTCGGTAGCACGATTTGTCTGCAAAACGTTTCGAAATAAGCAATGTTTCTACACATGTTTGTGTCTTGGGCTGGGATTTTTTTATTCGTTTTCTATCTAATGCTTTATTACCGTACCGTAGCGTTACAGCCTATTAAAGTCCACTGCTGAACATAGGCGTCCCTCTTAGATTACCTCATAGGGGTGTATCTGCCATAGTATCCACGCTTGGCATGCGGGTTGGCAAGCACAGTTTATTTTTTTATTTTTAGTAGATTTGCAACGAATATTGAGCTATTATTCGGTATTCGGCCTATTCAGCTTCTTGACAATTTTTTCTTCATTTTCAGGCAGTAGTTTACTCCTTTTCTTCTCATTGACAATCCCATCTTCAAAGAATAGACGCTCTAAAGAATATACACACTTCCTTCCCGGCCGAATACTTTTGCCTAATAATCGGCTGTTCGTTCAGGAAAGCCGCAAAATATTCGGTATTCGGCGTCTGGATGATTATACTATCCGTTGCAAGTCCAATTTTTAGTCATTATTAGGAATACGCTGCTGCCCATTTCCTGATTTGTTTCCCTTTGTCGCCTCTTACGACACCCACGGGATGATATGGGGTAGTGGACATTCTTACATCTCCAAATACGGTAATACATTTATTAATTTCATTAAATTAATGTTAAATAGCTGTAAAGGTTCGCCCAGGGTGAATAGTATATTTACCTGAGTTTCTCGTTGTGTCTGACAGAAGAACATTTGTGGTTGCCGGCACAATAGTCTCAATTGACGCTTTCCCATTGTTACTCACATTGGCAATAATAATTAAACAAAAAACAAGTAATTTCATTTTGATATCAGACAAAACAAACAAAAGTTCTTGTACTTTATCTCTTGTAAGCGTAAATATATTCAACTTTCATTATTTAGGTCCAATAAAGTACGTCTAACACTATTTGCACCGTAGTTAATAAATAATTTATTATGACTCGCGGTTAGTGCGTGAAATGATCGTCGACACTCGACACAGCGTATCCGTCGACGTTGCGATTCGAACTAGCTGAGTTGGGTAGGAGGCTTTGAGGCGTTCTACTGTCAGCTAAGTTATTATTTAGCGTGTCCGGAATTTCACTTGGTTTCTGTCTTGTTAAATTTCATATGTTTAGATTAATTGTCATTGAGTAATAATAATAATAATCATTTGTTTCTTATAACAGAACGTAGAATATAATATTAATTATAACGAGAATCCGAGAGATTTGCTTCGATCCGTAGTTTGTCCAAGGTTAAATTCATATGCGCTTGACCTACTTTCTTGGTATAACAACTCAAAAGAATGTAATTTCTGTACTGTTGAGTATATATTATATATTTTTATTAATACTTTTATGCCCAAAAATTAAATCGTGCATATTGCGGACATTAATGCCTTAAGGCATGCTCTAACAGTCAATTATTAGGCTAAGCAGAAATAAACATATTATGGGAGGTAGTGCAGCAAAAATAAACTAATAATGAGAAATGAAATAACGAAGTTCAAGTAATCCAGAATAAAAAATATCCCCATAGGTTACATCATAGAAGGGATTTTCCATAGCAGTCACACTTTGGCAAAAAAACTGTTGTCAAACCGCTTTAACAACAGTTGTTTTTATTATTTTCAGTTGTTATTAGGAAGATGCTGTTACCCATCCCCTGTTTCAGCTGGCTATAAGATACTAACTACCTAGATCTACCTACATAAGAGGTACTATCGACATCATTACATAGCGAACAGTCCACTTCAATATTATTCTCCATAAACACGTTTAGCGATTGTAGTTTCAAGCTAAACATAGATCTTGATCACCACAAAAACCACCGGTGTACTTCGGCATCACCACTTCTACATTGAACGGAAAAATTGCAGAACATAGACCTTTATTATCATATCATTATAGTATGCCGTGTAGGGACGGTTAAGAATATCCACTACCCCATATCTTTCCGTGGGAATCGTAAAAGGCGACAGTGGGAAACAGGCAGGAGATCGGCAGCAGCATCTTCCTGATAACAGCAATATACCAATAAAAAAAATAAAACAAACTGCGGTTGCCAACCCGCTTGCCAAGCGTGGCAACTATTGCAATATACCCCCCAATGAAAAAAGTTATGAAAAGACGGTCCCAGTCCCCGGCGCTCCTGCTATTCCTGGCTACAGTGGCGACCATGGTAACGGCGGGGCAGAGGGTACTAAGAATCTCCGGTGGAGGTTCGGTTGCCACCTACGACGACTCGACCTGGCAACTTATAACGCACGCACCCTAAGGACTGACGAGAAGATCCTGGAGCTGGAAGAAGAGATAGACAAGTTGCGCTCGAATATTGCATTATCCGAGGTCCGAAGAGAAGGGGAGGACACGGTAATCCTCGAATCCGGCAACTTGTTCTATTACCGGGAGGGCGACCATCTGTCCCAAGGAGGTGTCGGATTTATCGTCCACAAGTGTTTTAAAGACTGGGAGTGTGTCGACGAGGGTTGCGTATCTTATACTCAGAATCACCAAACGGTATTCGCTGAAGGTCATACAGGTTTACGCACCAACCACGGCACACCCCGATGAGGAGGTGGAGGAAATGTATGGATATCTCTAGAACCATGCATTCCTCCTAAACCCACTATACGGTGTTAATGGGAGACTTCAATGCAAAACTAGGCACAAGAGAGAACGGTGAGCTGAAACTAGGGAAATTCGGAATAGGGCAACGGAACCCAAGGGCCCAGCAGCTGGCCGACTTCATGGAGAAAGAGGGACTCTTTATGATGAACTCTTTCTTCCAGAAGCGACCAGGAAGTGGACCTTGTCGAGCCCCGACGGTTCGGCAAAAAATGAGATTGACTTCATTATGACGACCAGGCGACAACTGTTCAGTAATGTCTCAGTGATTGCGAGGGTGAAAACTGGTAGCGATCACCGAATGGTTAGAGGCACACTGAACCTAAACGTTAAGTTGGAGAGGTCTCGTCTAATGAAGTCAACGCTCCGTCCCCCTCGTGCTCTAGTCCAAAGTCCCGAAACCTTTCAGCTCGAGTTACAAAACCGTTTTCAGTGCCTGGAAGACTGCAATGAAGTGGATGATATAAATGATAAGCTCGTGGAAACTGTCCATGCGGTCGGAGCTAAGTTCTGCAAGACCCGCCGCAGAAGAACACAAAAACTCTCCGATCACACTCTTAATCTCATGGCTGTTAGACGGGAAATGAAGTTGTAATCTTCAACAGATTTGACAGAATGATTATGTATTTATTTTACTATATACTAGCTGGTAGCCGGCGCGTTTGCAGCCCAGAAGAAATAATTGTGGAAATATCGTTTTAAATTTGGAAGGATTATATTGTTTAACTAGGAATGATATACATTATATGACTTTCAATAAATGTCTCGGTATTATACGCGCGCAACCTATGTAAGTTAACTGTACTATGTCTATAACCTTCGCGCGAGTGCAAGCAATAAGTTGACAAAGTTTTACCGCAATCTGATTAACAGTACGGCAGCGTATATAAAACGAACAAACAAACCTTATTTTTTATATATTAGATGATAATACATTACCACATGTGTCGAAAGATTTTTAGTAAATTAAACCTAGTAAAAAGTTTCTTCTAGTGAAAGGTTACTTTCGACTGCGGTCCTTATCACTGTCCATCTTAAATTCAATAGCAGAAGGTACGGTAATTGCTGAGTCATTAGTCTTGAGCTCAAATTGGAAAACTATGAACTTTTTATATTCTAGTTATATTATGAATGCACCGTCTCGAATTGAATGTGATTAATGCTCGACTTGGAAAACTATTAGAAAAGCTTTGCGTCGCGGCGTTTGTTGTGCGTATAATTTCTATTCGTAAAAAGAACTAATGTGGGATTTGAAGACTGGTATGTAAACTCGTCTTGTACTAAAAATATTTTACGTAAAGACCTGTCCAAACTTGTAAAAAAATAAAAAACTATTTATAAAACATTATGATTTTGATTTGTTTGCACTCAAAATAATTAGCACAAACGCGAACTTAATGCAAAAAGGGCATATTCTGTGTAGTGTGGTGAGAGCGACGAGTACAGCCGCAACAAAAAGAAAGCTAGCTTATTTAAACATAATATATAAAATGTATAATATAATATACATAGGTATGTTACTTTATACATATATACACTCACTATATATACTCACAAACATAAATAAATATTATTAGATTAGAGGCATTTAACCCAAATCTTCCCAACAGCGGAAAAGGCTTTAAAAGTATTTACCATAAATAAATAGTACTTGAACAAACCTCCAGATCTGGAACAATTTCACAGATCTGGAACATTAGTAGCACATACAATAATTAAAAATTAAAAATTTTGTACAACCGACTTCAATATAAATTATTAAGGATAACTCAAAAACTACTGGTCAGACCTCGATTAAATTTATACCACCACATGGAAAGCACCAGCTTTAAAATAAAAAAAGAATCATCGAAATCGGTTCACCCAGAAAAAAGTTATGAGGTAACACACATAAAAAGACTTACCAGTCGAATTGAGTGCCGTCTCCTTTTTTAAGTCGGTAGAAAACTTATTCCATACGGGATAAGAACTTTCCACTCACAACATCACAGCCAAGTGCTACTACATCAATCAAGCCGTGAAATACTCATATATGGACATAGACGTAATCTTTATGTGATGCGGATTTGATTAGGTGATCATGTTATTAAGACACTTTACACTTTTATTGAGTAATTGGCATAATCCTTCATAATGTTTTTTTTTTCGTTCAGAATTGACTGCGAGAAAGTGCTTGAAAATATTAGATTTAACCTTTGTAGATAATTTGTTTGAAACAATTTTGAATGAAATAAAATAATTAAATATTAAAATTGATCTGTCTATTATTAACATAGAAGAAGAAGAACCATGAATGAATTACTGACTATAGAGTCAAGTAACTGGTATAACTTCTGTTTTTTTTTATAGAATATGGGTGACAAACGAGCACACAGTTCACCTGACGGTAAGTGGATGCTGTGGCCCATAGACATCTACATCTATCTTCGTTTGCGAATTAAAATGCAGGTGCGTCGTCAGCCGTGAGGACAAAGATAGAATGCCTCGTTTCCAGTAAAAAGGGTCTCCGGTTCTCTACACTCACCATACGAAACACAGCAGCATGAAGCTGCTATTTGACGCTGGTATTCTGAGAGCGTGGTCCTTCCCCGGTCGAGCCGACCCATTCGTGCTACAACTATACTACTAATATAGCTGCAGCATGGCTCTACCACGTACCTATTATCCCCTAGTATTTACAGAATGTGCACCACTTGATTAATAAAAGTATTTTGTTGTCGTGTAATAATAGCACGAACACTGGCATTTAAAAAGATAATAGTTCTAAAAAAAAACAAATGCAGCAGTTACTGTTGCTACTGTTTTGAAAGATATTGCTTTACTGCATTAGCCAAAAAGTTATTTCACCATTCGCCGGAGCCATTACATCTTAAGTGACTGTGAAATGGCAGATTATTCGCTGGAGCATAACATTTATATCTACCTAATGCAATGTAATAACAGAGACCAATAAACTGTAAATGTATTTTTGTTTTAAAAATATATAAAAATAAATATCGATTTGACTGCAACAATTATTATATTCAGTATTTTTGTGTTCGGTATGGTTACTTTAATGTGGAAGCATTCAGGAGGAGCTTACTAGGAGGAATAGGAGAGTGGATACCCTAACCCGAGAAGGTGCCGCCAGGGGCGATTCACGGTGTTAGTACGTGGTAGAGCTGTAGCTATATTAGTAGTATAGTTGTAGCAC